CACCCGCTGCCGGGAGGCCGGTACTGCATCAGCGCCGCCGCACAGCGCCACCCGCTGCCGGGAGGCCGGTACTGCGTGCAACGCGGCACAGCAGCGCCGCCGCCTGGCGAGAGGCTGATAATGCACCCAACACAACGCTATAATCTGTGAAGCGCTTTGAGCCGTCTCGATCAATGCAAAGATTGTTGTCGTTGTTGTTATTACATAAACAGCCGTGAAGCGAGAGAGAGAGACAGAGAGAGAGAGAGTCGGGAGGGTCCCCGACGTGTGTGGTGGGGGGGGAGTGGGGGGGAGGGGGGCAGTGTGTGTGGTGGGGGGGGAGTGGGGGGGAGGGGGGGGGGAGTGGGGTCAGGGGGTTGAACCCACAACCTCCCGCCTCGGAGGCCCCGAGAACCTGAGCCACGGACTGAATAAGGAACCGAATACACACAAAAAAGGTTATCATAAAAATTCTTTATTCGTCGCACTCCGCGGCGACATTGTACACTTCAAATTAAAATACGGGGAAATTAACGGATTAACGATCATTTACCCCCACTTCCTCTTTACCTCCTCCTCTCTCACATTCCCCCCCTCCCCCCCCACCCCCCCCTCCCCCCTCCGGCTCAAACACCACTTTTATATTAAAAACACTACAAGTTAATTAAATAAATAAATAAACAAGACACCAGAACCTCAATTATTACGTAGGTCACTTAGCAAAAATATCTTTATTTCTTTCCTTTATTTTCAACCCCATCCCCACTGCCCCACTGCCCGCTGACCTAATTCCGGAGAGTATTAGGCGCAGGTTGGGCGAGAGCCAAGGCTTGGGGTGGGGGGGTGGGGGGAGTATCCAGAGTGTGGGTTGGGGGTAACTCCTGGGGTCTAACCGGCCAAACCCACACACAGCTCAGCCATCGAGAGAGAGCGCTCGAGGGCTGTCGGGCAGCTTTCCCGCTGAGTGTCCAGCCCGGACCCCCCTCCCCGCCAGTTAGTTAGTGGGGGCTTTGGCTGTGGGGTTACCAGGAGCTGAGGGGGAGGATTCTCTGCCCCCAGTGACTGGTCGGCCCTTTCCAGGTCCTCCCGTGTCTGGGCCGGGCCGGGCCGCCATCAGCAGCGAGTGCCCTGGGACCCTGCGGCCCCTCCTGGCTCGGGAAACCGGGGGCTGAAGACCCTCACAGATTGGGGGGGGGGGGAGAGGTGGGGCTCGATTCATTGCCAAACATTGGAGCCAGTTCAGCTCTGACCAGACCCCGCCCCACCCCACCTCAAATTAAAGGCCAGTTTTGGAGGGACCCTGACAGACAAACACCCCCCCACCCTCCCCCCCACAAACACCGCCCCCACCCATCCCCACCAGAGGCTGAGGTCCAGGCAGAGCCTGGAGCCGCCCGGAAACACAACACAATACAATACGACATCCCAAGACGTTGGAAAGTTGGCCTCAGTGAAGCCTGGAACTTGGGGAGGAGAAGAGGAGATTCCGTCTACAGGAGGAAAACTACCGTCAACGTCTCTCTCTCTCTCCTCGTCTCATGGTCCGTCTCCCAAACCCCCGACAGTCTGTCTCGCCCTCTCACAGACTGTGGTAGAAATCAAGGAGATATTGGTCGCTCCAGTCCACGTTGAAGTCCGCCATCTTGAAATCCACCTCGATCTCGTCCACGGGGAACCTCTGGCCGCTGGGCTGGGGTCCGTGCGAGTCCCAGGCCTGCGGGGGGCCGGGGAAGAAGCCGAGGTCCGAGCCTGGCCTGTGGCAGAAGGCCTCGTACCCGTGCTGCGAGCTTCGGGCCTGCTCGGTGCCACTCGGAGCTGGTGTGGCCGCGAGGGCCGGCTGGGGGGCCGGGCGGGGGGCCGGGCGGGGGGCGGCTCCGGGGTAATGCAGCGTTTCCAGCGGCGACCGCCCCTCGAATCCCTCGCTGGCGGGAAGCTCCAGCCGGTGCCGGGAGCTTCCTGATCTGCGGCTGTACCTCGCTCTGCGGTTCTGGAACCAAACCTGACAAGAGACGCGGATAATTAACGATAATCCGCTCGTCCGACCCGGCGCCTCGTCACAGCGTCCCGAAGCGCGTGTCTGTGGGTGTGTGTGTCTGTGTGTGTGTGTGTGTCTGTGTGGGGGTGGGGGTGAGGGTGGGGGGTTGGGCGAGTTCTCCAGTGGATTCCACGGGCGCAGTCACAGCGGAAGCTTTCACTCACTATTATTCTGGCGTCGTCCACGTTCAGAGCCTTGGAGAGCATCTCCCGGATCCAGACGTTGGGATACTTGCAGACGGCGTAGGCCTTTTCCAGGAGGTTCTTCTGCCAGTGGTTGTATTTGGTTCTCCTCCGCCTCCGCGGGCCGCTGACCGCGGATTGCGGGGACGAGATCAGCGCGGCTTCTGGTGGGGAAACGGCGACAGCAACGACAACTTCGCTTATTCACATCAATGCGTCGTCTCCTCCACAAAACACCCGCTTTTACGGGGCACCGTGCGAAGCGCTCTGAGGCGTCTCGGAGGCGTTATTATCGTTGCACACTCACTCACACACACTCACTCACACTCACACATTCACACACTCACTCACACTCACGCATTCACACACTCACAGACTCGCTCACACACTCACTCACACACTCGCTCACTCACACACTCACAGACTCGCTCACACACTCGCTCACACTGACTCACTCACACTCACACACTCACTCACTCTCACTCATTCTCACTCACACACTCATATTCACTCACTCACACGCTCACACATTCACTCACTCACACACTGACACTCATTCTCTCACTCACTCACACTCACTCACTCACATTCTCACTCACTCACACACGCAGGGAATTGGCTGCCGTGTCCCCCCCCCACAAAACGCACAGTCGCTACACGTTACACTATAACCCGTGAAGCTCTTTCTGAGACGTCTCGACAAACGAGAGATAAGGCGACGTACCAAACGCGACGACGATTATTACTATTATTGCTGTTATTATTATTATTGTTAGAAAAGATACCAAAAAAATTCTCAAATCGCCCTCAAAAAACACGAATCGGGATTCGTTGTAGGTTTTTTTTTTTTGGGCGACGGATTCAAATCAAATTTGGATTATAATACGTACGTCTCTCGAGCTTTTCTGACTTACCCATCAGAGATATCCCGCTCTCCGCTTCCTCCTGACATCCCGGGTCTCCCAAACGCCGGTTGGTAACATCTCGCAAAACCATATCCATCCTTTAATGTGTAACCTCTCACTGTCGCGCCTGTGAACAAACTTTCCGCACTCTCCCCCCTCTCTCTCTCTCTCTCTCTCCTCTCGCACTCTCCCTCTCGCTCTCCTCCTCTCACGCTCTCTCGCTCTTTCTTCTCTTACCTCCTTGTTTCGCCCCCCCCCCCACCAAAGCGCCCAGTCACTACACTTTTACGGTGTGTATCTTGCGAAGCGCTTTGAGACGTCTCCACCACGTGATCGGGCGCCGGGTCAACTGCGAGGATTGTTATAATTATGACTCTCTCTCTTCTCTTCTCTTCTCTTCTCCTCTCCCACACTCTCTCTCTCTCTCTCTCTCTCGCTCTCCGTAAGGCACTGAAGGATGAGGGAGAGATGACAGACGGAGGGAGAGATCAGCCCTTTTTATAGCAAAGGTAATAACAAGACAGAACTTGACTGAAACGTGTCCTTGTGTCCCGAACAAATCCAATCCACAAACAAACAGACTCCGTCCCTCCCCCCCTCCAAAAAAACAGCTTTAATTGTTGATCTATCTAACTAATTAGATTAAACCCCCTCCACCCCCCCCTCCCCCCCCACACACAGACACACAGACACACGTCCCAATTTACTAACGGCCCCAGAAAGCTGCTTTGGTTTGGAAGTTCGTTCGAAAGTGATAAAATTTAAAAATCCCACGAAAATGTCTCGGTTTTTTGGCTTTTTTTCGCCCGACTTCGCTCTGCGTCTCTGTGTTTGGGGTTTGGAGCCCGTTCCTCACCCCGGCTCGCAATCCTCATCATAATAACAACAACAACAACAACAACAATAACGTTCCTTACATTCGAGACATCCCAAAGCGCTTCACAGGACACACCGTAAAGTGTAGTGACTGTGTGTTTTGGGGGCCAAACGCGGCAGCCGATCGCGCCGCCCGGCGACGTCCCCACAAACAGCCGTGGATTAAGCGATCAAATTATTATTATTGTTTTGAAGTGATCCCCCAATCGCCTGACAAGCGACTGACTGCCGGGGACACAGGCGTGTGTGCACGTGTGTGCGTGTGTGTGCGTGTCCGTGTGTGGGGTGGGGGGGGGGAGTAAGGAAACTTTTCCAGTGTTTCGCCCTGACCTGACCCGCCCGGGAATCGAACCCGGGTCCCTCTGGTTTGCGAGGTGAGGGCTCTAACCCCTGAGCTACAGGATTCCAAGGTTTATTATTAGACACACACACACACACACACAGAGGCACATGTCTGTTTGCACAGACTTAATTGTGTGCGCGTGTGCGAGTCTGTCTGTTTGAGGTGGGGGAGAGGGAATGTGTGTGTGTGTGTGTGTGTGTGTGTGTCTGTGTGCGTTTGTGTCCGTGTGTGTATGTGTGTGTGTGTCTGTCTGTCTGTGTGTGTGTTTGTGGGGGGGGTGGAGGGGAGAGAAAG